ATGGTCTTTCTTTTCTCTCTTTGATCTATTATTCCATTACTAAAGATCTAGCCTCGGGAAATAATTTTTAATCAAAAAGTGTTATAGGAAGACTTTCATTATTTATAAAGTAAAAAGCTACCAACAACCTGTCCATCAGTGAGAGAATGGTTAAGTGAGTTAGGGACTCACACCTAATGAAATAGGCATTAATGGCTTGGAAAATCATATAATAACATAGAAAAAATGCTACAAATCATCTGTGAAGTGGATAAAGGGCACACATTCATATGCATTAGATGACTCTAGGCAAAAAATTACCAGGCAAAGGAAATATACCAAAATGCTAATAGCGGTTATATACAGGTTGTTTATGGGGATTTTTTCAAATCCCCCTCCTTTTCTTTTCCTGCTCCAAATTAAATATAGTATGTAATAAAACGGTACTAAAAATTCTCTTTGTAAACCATTCATACAGCTGAGTAAAGGACTGGGAATTGATAAAGTAATTGTGCCTTGTAAATAAATGGCTTCTTCAGAAGGGGCTTAAAGTGTTTATTGACAGTTTTCTGGGGCTTTAACCTCTCTCTCAGCAAATGTTTTATGAGCAAACTCCATCTCAGTCCTCACTGGATCAATCATTTGCTCAGACAAATCTCTCGTGAAGCTGTTTACCAGGGTCTCTCCCTGGCATCACAGAGGATACGGCGATAAATCAAACAGGGTGTGACCTTGGGCAGCGAGAAAGCCCAGGTCTACACAACACAACCCAGCTCGGCTTCCCAGAGACTCCTAGCGCAGTGCGGGGCGGAGACACCCATGGCCTGGTGGCTCAACTGGGTGACAGCTGCAGAGTTAAAGAAAAGCCCGACAACCAGCAGCTGAAATGAAATTTGCACCTACTCAGACATTTCCTCCAAAATTCCTTCTCGGAGAAGCTCTGTGAGAGTCACTGTTCCACCTGGAACCCACTCAGCGGGCCTGTGTCCCTGCCACACTCCACGGGCATCCCCAGCAGCACCCAAAGCATGAAGCTTCCCACACCCAGGAAGTCAACTCTGGATAAACACATTTTCTTTTAAATAGAGTAACTTTCTCTGCTGCCAGCGGTACCTAATTATTTAAATTATGTATAATGTTTCCAAGTTGTTCACGACAGCTTTGCACAGCAGTATCTACGAATACTGTCCAACCGCCATCTGAAACTGCTTTTATCACTTCATTCTTCGTTTTTCAGTGAAATGTCTGCAAAAGGGCTTTATGTCCACAGAGAGGCTTCCTGTCCCCAGGCAACAGAATCCCAGACCTTTCAGTGGGCTGGGGAGAGGTCAGCTTGACTCAGCCAAGGTTCTTCAAGCTTACTTATTCCAGGCTTTTGCGGAAGGCCCAGGCTTTATAATTTTACCACCCTGCTCAATGAACTGATCCCACTAATTCCCTATCTGGGAATCGATCCTAAGGAATTACTTCTGAATTATAGGAGGAAAAAAGTGACCACATGAAGATGTCCCTGAGAGCCTTATTTGTAAGTGGCTCCTTCTAAATGCCCAATTTAGGGGAATGCTTAATCTATGGTCCATCAGCTTGATGGAAAAATCTGTCAGTCTTTAAATGCTAATGAAGACTAATAGTATGAAAAGTGCTTATAATCTTGCTTTAAAGCAGTGGTTCTTGATTGAGGATGATTTTTTGCCACCCTGGGGACATTTGACAATGTCTGGAGATAGTTTTGACTGTTATACTAGGGGAAGGGCGTGCTACTGGCATTTAGTAGGTCAAGGGCAGGGATGCAGCTAAGCATTTTACATTGCATTGGATAGCTCCCACCACAGAGAATGATCGGGCCCCAAGTGTCAGTAGAGCAAGCAAACAAAAAACCCTGCCCAGCCAGTGTGGCTCAGTGGCTGAGTGTCAACCTATGAACCAAAAGATCAAGGTTCAATTCCACGTCGGAGCATGTGCCCAAGTTGCGGGCTCAATCCCCAGTGGTGGGCGTGTAGGAAGCAGCGGATCAGTGATTCTCTTATCATTGATGTTTCTATCTCTCTCTCCTTCTCCCTCTCTAAAATCAATAAAAATATATCAAAACACTACCAATAAAAATATCTTTAAAAAACTGCTTTAGATAAAAAAAACTATACATGTATACAGGAATTTGTTATTATCATATTACACTTAAAAATGCATTGGCCTGGCCCTGACAGATTTGGCTCAGTGGATAGAGCGTCGACCTGCAGACTGAAGGATCCCAGGTTCGATTCCGGTCAAGGGCATGTACCTGGATTGGGGGCACATCCCCAGTAGATGTGCAGGAGGCAGCTGATCGATGTTTCTCTCTCATCAATGTTTCTAACTCTCTATTCCTCTCCCTTCCTCTCTGTAAAAAATCAATAAAATATATTTTTTTAAAAATGCATTGGCCTGGAAATGAAGGAAGCAAACAGACCAAATGCTAGCTTTATCTACTCATCTCTTCCCCCAAATTATAAGACTATATTTTCCACACAATCTGGTCTATACATGGTTGTTATTGTTTTGTTTTGAATCCTCACCAGAGGATATTTTTTCCCACTGATCTTTAGAGAAAGTAGAAGGAAGGAAGAAGGGGGGGGAAGGGAGGGAGAGAGAAAGAGAGAAATATTGATATGAGAGAGAGAGATGGACTGGGGCTGGGGATTGAACCTGCAACAGAGGTATGTGCCCTTGAGCAGGAATCGAACCCATGACCCTTTGGTGTGTGGGCCAAGGTTCTAACCACTGAGAAAACTAGCCAGGCATGTGTGCAGTTTTTAAAAATCATTAATACAAAATAATATACTGTAGCTTTAGTCTGTTAATGGACTTCTTAAAGACCTCAGATAGTCTTATTAATGATTAATTGACAAATGCATAATTCATTGTAAAAGAGGAGAAATTTAAGACTTGCTCATTTCCAACAAGGACCCACTGGCTGACTCAGACACCTGGTAAAGAAAGGAATTGATATAAACTTTCATGACCAAGCATTTCTATCATTGGAAGAATTATGAAAGGTGGTTGTTGTTTTTTTTAATATATTTTATTGATTTTTTACAGAGAAGAAGGGAGAGGAATAGAGAGTTAGAAACATCGATGAGAGAGAAACATCGATCAGCTGCCTCCTGCACATTCCCCACTGGGTATGTGCCCACAACCAAGGTACATGCCCTTGACTGGAATCGAACCTGGGACCCTTGAGTCCGCAGGCCAACGCTCTATCCACTGAGTCAAACCGGTTAGGCGAAAGGTGATTTTTTAATCCATAACTCGAGGTTCAAGTGAAAACTATAATTTTCACGTAAACACTGCACTTATTTTGACAGAGTCCAAAGCACTACCATTTAAAAATTGTTTCAAAATGGAAAACTTTCCATCATTTACCCCCTTATCTTTTTGAGACAGAATTTCATCGTTGTGAGCTCATGTTTTACCAACAGAAAGTGATGCCTTTGACTGCCACTGAGGTTCTAGGGCCTCCAACTAGTGCGCCTTTTAAGTCTCTGCTTCCTGTTTTTATTGCTTTCTGTCTCTTCTTATTTTTGCATCCCCTTTCATCTCGATGTTTGTAAAATGCTTTGGAGTGTAAAACTATCACGGTTGCCAAACTGAAACAGCTATGCAGAAAGGCTATGTTCTCTCCTGTGAGTCGAGTTCATGAATTTTTACTGCATGGACTATGGCTGTTAAAAGGCATCCCCACCCTTGCCATCCTCCTTCCCCATTTGGTAGTTCTCAGCTAGATCCTGGAAATTCCCAAATTAGCAACTTCCAAGTCACTGCATAGTTCTTTTTGTTGTTGTTAATCCTCACCCGAGGATATTTTTCCATTGATTTTTAAACAGAGAGAAACATTGACATCGATTGGTTGCCTCCCACACACTTTGGCCTGGATCAAGCCTGCAACCAAGGTACATGCCCATGACCAGAATCAAACCTGGCACCCTTCAGTCCACAGGTCGACGCTCTATCCACTGAGCCAAACCAGCCAGGACATCGCTGTGTAGTTCTTGCAGCCAAAAGAATGGCAAATCAGACAGGCTGTGACTTCTCTATCCAGAGAACAACCAGATTGAGAAAACGATGTGTATCCAGGAGAACTGACCAAACCCAGTCAGCCTACTGGGGTCTGGAACCGTGATCCCAGTTTATCCCAAGAAAACTGGACTGACCACAGAAATCCCCCAGTAGGCTGATGTGGGTTTTGTGGCAAGGGACTGGAAAGGTCTTTGGAGATTGTATTGGCCACGTATGAGCACTTGCAAAAACACACGCTGAGTGGGTTTCATTCTGTGGGAGGGACCACCAAGATTCAGAATCTGTAAGTCCAGAATCACAGTCAGTAACCACATCTGCACCCACCATCAAACCAAGGCCTTAACTACCTACAGCTTGGAGCTGTGTTCTCAGCATCCCATCTCAACATCTTACATAGTTCAAGGAGGCCAAGCCCTTTCTGCTAAGTCTACCCTAACTGGCTAATGAAAGGAGGGATTAGATATCTTCAAGGCCTTGGCAAAACAGAAGGACCAAAAAAGCAGGCTCCTCCAGTAGCAGAGAGAACCACAAGAAGAGCACCCCTTACTGTGGGGAGTTGTGCTCTGAATATCCTTCCCCATGACAAGGCCTTGTTGGGTGCTTTTAAGGGATTACCCAAGACCAACAGGCAGAGAATGGCACCCAGGAAGGATGAACTTACCTAGAAAAGCGTCATCTTGCCTGGCTCTTGCTAAAATGAAACTAAGAGTAGCTTCCAACGAGCTTCTCCCTTTCCAATGACATAGCCACTCCTAGAATCATGCAGTATTCTCCAAGGATGGATGCTGGGAGAAAAAAACCTAGGACCTATGGGGAAATCTGTAGCCGAAAGGAATTCTTTTGTAATGATGTGGCATGTTTGGCTAAATAATTCTCGGTGGGTTTAAGTCCATCAGCCAAGCATACTCATTGACCATGTCCACCCCACCAGCAGACATAGCTCAGGGAACCCCGAGGTGTCCACTCACCAGCACTGGCCGCATCTCGCAGAAAACCAGGAGGGAAGCCAGCTCGATGTCTTCACTGTACCCGTTCTTCAGAGGAACAGATCTAAATCCTGCAGCAGGATGGAAAAACAAGGCAGAGGCAGGCAATTAATGTCCGACCTTGGCTTTCTTGGGGTACCCAGGGATCACGTGCCTGGTTCAAGGCACAGAGAGATCAGTGCCCCATTCTGGGGCTGACTTTCTGGAAGCCAGAGGTCCCATCCTGATGGTTATGGAGAAGGGCTCCAGGATGCAGCCTTGACCGACAGGTCCGTTTGGAGAAGTGAAGTTTAAAAAAATCTGCCAACTAGAAATGAAAATGATTCCTTCAGAAGAAATTAAAACCCACAGCACATTACACATTGAATTTAGAGTGACTGCAGCTGTGGTTCAATTCCTTAAGTACTCCAGAGGCCAAAGACTCAAAAGAATAATGAATCCTCACATCCATTTCCTCCACTTTAGCCCTTTACAAAGCACAGGAGGGGGAGTGTCTTTAAAGATTTCCAGTGGGAGGAAATCTTCCTGTCCCTTGGCAGTTCAGAGCCGTATTGATTATCCTCCGCTGAAAGCCTTTCCCTGTTTACACTTGGGACCCGAGTCTGACAATCAAATGTTTACTTAGAGGAGGTGGAGGTAGAGCTGAATTCCCCTGCCACCACCACACATTAAGTAATGTTTGAGGCAACACATGTCAAAGGTTGGTTGGTTTGCTTGTTTTAGTTAAGTAGTATAAAAGAATACACCGTGAAAATGCAAGGCTCACTCCCACCCACTCCTAAGCCCTTATTCCACGAGGAACCATTGTTAACGGTATCATCCCAAAACAGTCTCTACATTTGTTTGAATTTCCTTTAAAATCGCAAAGGATAGTACCCTGACCTAAGCAATTCTGAACCTTCCATTTTCCATTTAATCCTTACCTTGGGGATTCACTGTATGGCTGTAGGTTGACTTGAAAGCTTTTATTGTTAAATTAAAATTTTAAATTTAATGTACAGTGTTATACTAGATACATTAGTGTCACGTGTACAATATAGTGATTCCACATTTTTATACCTTACAATGTGATCACTCCACTAATTCTAATAATCTTATTACATATTATTGACTATTCTCCTTCGCTTTTTTCAACCATTCCCTGCATCATCCTCCCCTCTAGTAACTATTCCTTTGGTCTCTGTTTCTATGAGTAGTTTTTGTTTTGTTTGTGGGTGTTGGTGTTTTTTTTTAGATTCCACATAAAAGTGAAACCATATGGTACTTGTCTTACTCTGACTTATTTCACTTAGCATAATACCCTCAAAATCAACCCATATTGTCACAAATGACAAGATTTCACTCTTTTTGTTGCTGTGTAATATTCCATTTTGTATGTGTGTATACGTGTGTGTGTGTATATATATATATGTGTGTATGTGTATATATATATATATATGTGTGTGTGTGTGTGTGTGTGTG